TTTTCTTCTTCTTCTTCTTCTTCTTCTTCTTCTTCACTTCCTCTTTTACCGCTGTGGGTGTCGAGGGAGATATAAGGTTCTGTTTCTAGCTCTTCTGGCTGCCTCGACCATAGGCACATCGTGCTGTTGTAGAGTTTCTCTGATGTTATCCTTCCATCTTGTTCTTGGTCTACCCCGTGCTCTACGTCCTTCTTCTCTTTCCATGTATGCTTTGTATGGTATGGTGTCACAAGGCATTCTCTCTAAGTGGGCAAACCATTTCACTTGCTGTCTTTGTATGTAATCCAGAATTGATTCTGTGCCGACTTGTTCTCTTATGATTTCATTCCTGATCTTATCTCTTATGGTCACTCCTACAGCCCTTCTCAGATATCTCATTTCCGTGGTCACTAATTTTCTTTTATGGTTTGTTGTTAGTGACCATGTCTGGCACTGGTAGCACAGAGTTGGAATAAATATGCTTTGAATAAGATGTCTCTTTGTGCTGATTTGGATTGTCTTATGCTGTAAGAGGGGAGCTAGCTGTCCCAATACTTGGTTTGCTTTACTGCATCTAATGTCAATTTCTTTATCCAATTTCCCATCTTCGGTAAATGTAGTTCCCAGATATTTAAACTCAGATGCCTGTTTAATGCCTTTGTATTCTATTGCTATGTTTAGATCTGTCTTCTTTTTCCTATTGACATTACTTCTGTCTTTTCAGTGTTGATTCTCATATTATTTGTTTTACATTCTTCATTCATGGATGTTAGATGTTGTTGCAATTTCATGGCTGTATCTGCTATCAAGGCCTGGTCATCTGCAAAGAGTAATTCGTTGATCTTACTAAGATCTTCATTCATGGGCTTGGCATTCTTGCATATACTGTCGATGTAGGTGATAAACAGCAGTGGTGATAAGACACACCCCTGTCTTACTCCCGATGTCACTGTGAAAGGATGAGATGTTCCCTGATTTATTCTAACTACACTTCTACAATCCCTGTTTAAACTTTTGCACACTTCGATGAGGTGTTCGCTTACTCCATATCTTGCCATTATTTTCCATAATAATTGTCTGTCGACTCTGTCAAATGCCTTCTCCTGGTCTACGAAGGCTACAAATAAGTTCTTATTGTATTCAATGTTCTTTTCTATTAACTGTTTAAGTGTGAAGAATGCATCTGTGCAGCTTCTATTTCTCCTAAATCCCATCTGTTCTTCTGCCAGCTGTGGTTCTATCACTGGTCTCAGTCTTGTTTCTATTATCTTAGCATACATTTTGCCAACATGGCTTAAAAGAGAGATGTCTTGATATTGACCGCATTCTCGTTTGCTTCCTTTGTTCTTCCACAATGGTATAACTATTGCATGTTGCCAATCAATAGGGGCCGCTTGTTGTACCCATGCTGCATTGAATATTCTGTGAAGCCATCTGATGCTGCTTTCACCTGCTGCTTGAATTATTTCTGTTGGTAATCTATCAGCTCCTGGTGCTTTATATTTGGGAGACTGTTTAATGACTTTTTCTATTTCATCCATTAGTATGTGTGGTTCTAACACTGTTGCTCTGTGCTCTTCAGTTGTTCTTTCCTGATGATCTCCTAGAGGATTAAAGAGCTCATTGAAGTATTCCCTCCATCTTTCTGCTATCTCGGGTGGATCTATCAATGGTCTTCCTGTCTTATCATTAATTATTTCAGTGGGGTTGTAGCTCTCATCTCTTTTCCGCATATTTTTAACCACTTTGAAAAATTTTCTGCTGGCTGTTTTCTCATTTTCTGCTAGTGACTCACCGAAACGTTCCCATGATGCTTGTTTTGCTTTCTTGACACTCCTGTTGGTTTCTCTTCTTTGCAGTCTATAGTTTATATAATCTTCTTCTTTCTTTGATTTTATCCACTGTTTATATAAGTCTTTTTTTCTTTTTAATTGCTTCTTTTACTTCTTCGCACCACCAAGGTGAATATTTGTTGTTTCCCCGTCTGTTTCCACTCTTCCGTTTTCCACATAATTCTTCTGCAATACTAAGCATAGTGTTTTTATATATACTCCATTCTTCCTCAATATTGCCAACTACATGTGGAAGTTGTTTGAATGCTGTCTCTACTTTCTGTTGTAACTGTTCTTTTACTCCTTCCTGTTTCAGATTTGCTATCTTGATGAGATCCTTGTTTTTGTTTAATTTCTTTCTGTGTTTCTTTAATGTAAGATGTTTTGCTGTTAACACAACTATTTTATGGTCAGTGTCACATAGACCATTAGGATTGCTCTTGAATCAAGAATTCTCCTTCTTCCTTGAACTCTGGGTAAGTATAAAGTCAATCTGGCTCTTGATGGAGATATCATTCCATTTGTACCAAGTGTAAAGTTGTGAATCTCTATGGTCAAAGAATGTGTTCGTAATAAAAAGATTGTGCTGGCTGCATAGATCCCATATTCTTTGACCATTTCCATTTCTAGCACTGTTCTTAGCTGCATATGGACCTAAAAACTGTTCGTATTCTCTTCTGTTATTTCCTATCCTCCCGTTGAAGTCACCCATTACATATAGTATGCTGCTTCCCTCAACTTTCTTTATCTCATCAGACAGATCGTCAAAGAGTTCATCTTTCTGCTCTTCTGTATAATTATCATTGCATGGTGCATATATCTGTATAAATGTTTCAGCTTGTTCTCCTCTTTTAATTTTCAAAGTAATAATTCTATCTGAGTGATAATGTATGTCTAATATGTAGTTAGATATGTCCGGATGTACCAGGAAACCCACTCCATTCTTCGATGTTTCTCCTCCTGCATATGTTAGTAAGTAGCCTCTGTGTATTTTCTTATTAATATTTCCCTTGCGTCTTATGTCAGCTAGCCCCATTAACTTGATTTTCCTTTTTTCCAACATTTCAATAATCTCTTCTGTTTTATTTCCCAGGCCAGCGGTGTTAAGTGTTGCAATCTTGTATTTCGCTGTTCTGTCTCTTAGTCCTCTTTAAGTAAATAGCCATAATTTTGTATTTATGTGTCAAGATGTCAGGTTAAGTACTCAGTTCTTTCCTATCTCTCTTGCGAACAGCATATATTAAAATCCAGCCATATAGGTGAGAGTTTACTTATAGTGAAGACAAATTCCATTGGTCTAACTACAGCTTTGGACGCGGATGAATCCCCTCCCGCCTCTAGTTGGATATATACTTAGATTTAGGACTCATTCTTGACTGAGCTTCCAGGCTGATCAGACGGCTTGCTGCCTTATATATCTATCTACTTACCTCCGTTTGAATCACCGATTTACCCGGGAGCGGCCATGAGCATGGGTAAGTACACTGTAGATTAATAGTACTGAAACAGAAAACCATGCGTCTGAGTGTAAGACAGGTGTCGCTTTCGCTGCTGTCGCTTCTGTCGCTTTCGCTGCTGTCGCTGTCACTCCCGCTGCTGTCGATTTAGCTGTCACTTCCTCTGCTATCGCTTCCGCTGCTGTCGCTTCTGCTGCTGTCGCTTTCGCTGCTGTCGTTTTCGCTGCTGTCGCTTTCACCGCTGTTACTGTCGCTTTCACTGCTGTCGCGGTCGCTCCCGCTGATGTGGCTTCCGCTGATGTGGCTTCCGCTGCTGTGGCTTCCGCTGCTGTCGCTCCCTCTGCTGTTGCTGTCGCTCCCCCGCGGTCGCTGCCCTGCTGTCGGATGTCCCTGCTGCACCACTCTGGTGGTGTTTCTCCAGACGCATGCACGTTTCCTGCAAGTGATCAACTGAGTCGCAAAGGCGGCTCTTTCTTTCTTCAGATGATGTTTCTCATAGAAAGGATTGGCGTCACACCACCGGCGTTCCCCATGCTCCCACAGAAGAGACAGGTTACCATGGACCCTTATCTCTCCGGAATCTGTGACTCGTGTAGTATTTTCAGATTTGTCACGTTGCCTCGTTGTGGTGATGTTTCTTCATGTAAAGAGATGACACTGCCTCCCCAACAGCTTACGTCTGGGCCTTTGCTAAAACAAATAAATGTTTCCGTGGGCATAAAAGTATGCAGCCCCTGAAACTTCCATCTCTTTCATTGTAGATGGCTTCGGTTCAATTAATAAAGTCATCATACTGCTTGGCACACTAGATAGCCCCTTATCTCTAATTAAAAGATCGTTCAACAATTCAAGTGATTTACCAACATTCACAGATCTCACCCACTTATCAAAAGTTGTTTTGACAGATAGTCGATGAAGGTTTGTTCAGCTTTAGGCTTTAAAATTTTTAAATTGTTTCTATAAGATCCTTTATCTATACAGAAGTGTTGCAAAATTATTCCTTTCAAATATTCATTTTTATCTAATTTTTTTTTTTCAGTTAGAATGGTTTCCAACAATGTCAGTGGTTCCCCGCCTAAATGCTTTCTGTAAACGAGTGACCGTTCTTCGGGTGGAGCATTAAAATGTTTGGCCATTTACACAAAATTGTCACTCCAACCCGAAATAGATTCACCCTGGGTGAAGAATTTAACCAGAACCTGACACTTTTAAACAGAGGGCTCAGCAGCTTGTAACACCGCCCTTATCATCTGTACCTCAGCATCTCTGTCTCTTTAGCTTTCAACTCCATTGTCAATGTATCTTTCTGTGTCAGTAAATATCACACACATATGACCCAGTTAGTCACGTACACAAGTGCCCAGTGTTGTTGCTACACCTGACACAGGTAAGAAAGAACGGCTTCCGGCCGTCACACCTGGCTTGTGTTGACAGTTGACTGTACAGGGCTGCCAATGCTGGAGTTTTTCCCCAGATCTGCGTTTTTCTTAGAGGCCTCAGGGAAATCTGGGGTTTAAAAAAAAAACATTTCCTTATATAAAATTGGTAAATGTTTCGTTTCGTAACTATAAATTTTGTACATTTGAACAATCTGGGTTTTTTTAATTTTTTTGTTCATTGTCTATGTATTGCTTGGGTTTTTGTTTAGCGAATCTGGGTTTTTCAGAAAAATCCCATTGGCAGCCCTGAGTTGACAGGCTAAAGATAGCGGCCAGGACTTTGTGTGTGTAAGATGGCGAGCGCCGCAGCTCGTGTTTCAGGATTTACCATAGTTGGGACAATTCTGATCGCCATCTCCATCGTTTTAATCATCTTTGCTGAAGCGTTCCCCTACTGGCAGCAGGCTGAGAAAACCAGGGAGACAGGGATCCCCAATGTGGGTCTGTGGCAGGTGTGTTTTAGAGACGACGGCTACCCCGCTCCGCCCTGGGCCAACGATGGCCTGGGCAAGCGTTACTATGGCTGTAACTACGTGTTTGATAGGGACCTCCGGATGATTCGCGATTGGATCTATCCAGGTTTGTCTGGGTTTTCTCATTTCTTTCCTCTCTTTTACGTTAATGACCATATTAACACAACCAGCAACGTGTGGGTTGTAGTGTGGGCCTTGTCACTTTGTTTGAAGCCAGTCACTAGTCACTTCCTCGTTCAGGGAGATTTAATCTAATATTAATTATTACAATCATACACAGCAGGCCGTTCATCTGATATCATCAACACCCTAATATACATATATAAACAAAACTAGAACAGAGGATCTCTACCAGAAAAACGCACAGAACCAAGCCAGAACCTAAAATGAAACAACATATTTGTTTCATAAACGCAGCAAACAAAAAATTATGATCTCTTTCTGATAAGCACATCAGTTCAAAACAAACAAGTCATGAATTCTGCCAAACAGCACACGGCATCGCATCAGTTGAGAACAGTAGTTAGCAACAAACAGAATATGATTTCTCTCACAAACATGAGTCATACAAAGTATGATTTCTCTCACAAACATGAGGCATACAAAATATGATTTCTCTCACAAACATGAGGCATACTTATAATCTTTAGAATATGAAATAACTAAGAGTATAAAACAAACAAAAATCAAATATTATTATTAGAAAAGATATCACCGGCTGTCAACTCTGGCAGAGAGTCCTAGTTGTTTGTTCATCCATTTCTGGTCTTTATTTTGATTCCAAAACTTGAGTATAGTGTGCAGATCAGTTTTATGGACCTGGTTTATTTGTATGCAGACTGTTGGTTTCTCAGCTGCAGACAGACACACTCCGAACTTTGAACAAAACTCCTTTAATTAGTTACTCTATGCAGCTTCCTTGTGGTCTCGACGTGTAGTGTCCACCTCGAGTGGTAAAGGTCTGGTTCAGGCCCCAATGAAGGCTAGAAATTTTTCACGTGGGCTTCTAGTAATTTTTCCTGGTCTCTGGATAGTAGGATTGGATGCCAGTGTCTATTCTTGCACACTTAAAAATCCCTTGGCAGTTGGAAAAAAAAAGAGTAGCCCAACGCCGCTGCCGCTGAAAAATTTGGAGCTAAAAATTGACCCAAATTATTTCAGGATCCTCACCGGTGCAACAGAGTTCGTGCACTGTACTGAGCTTCTTCAGACTCAGACTTGAGTTAGAAGAAGAACAGAGCACTTATGGGTTACTACCTGTGTGCCATGATGATGATGCCTTGTTCAAGCCTTCTAATATTAAAACTCAAAGAAAGTAAGTCCTGCGGAAAACACAGACCGGGCATCGCTGTTAGGCTAATCTTTTCAATGTCCAGCTGCCAAGGGATTTTTTACGTGTCCAACAATGCACACTACACAGAGACCAGGGAAAATTACTAGAAATCCAATTCCATGTGAAAACATTCCAGCCCTTACCTGGAATTGAACCTGGAACCTCTAGCACTCAAGGCGGACACCATGCCTCGAGACCACACAGCACCCCCCCCCCCCCCCCACTGAAACTATACCTCATAATAAACTGATATTTAAAATATATGGCCAGGACAAAATGTTGAACAGAAGTCATGCCATCAAGAGCATTTGCAAACACTGGTCTCAGAAATAATAAGAATCAGGTCATACTGCTCTGTCTGTGGTGTCATAACTGTGGGACTCAGTGGTGAATTGGCTGGGCCTTTGCCTTGTACTCTGAGGATTATTGATTCAGCTTCCAATTTTTTTCTTCACTTTGCACCTGCAGGTTTATTAAAATTAGTCGACACAGGGGCAGACATGTTGGAAAATGGGGAAACGTCAGAGGCCAGAATCGCAGGTCAGAGGCCTGAGTCTCAGGTCAGAGGCCCGAGTCTCAGGTCAGAGGCCTGAGTCACAATTCAGAGGCCCGAGTCATAGGTAAGAGGCATGTCACAGGTCAGAGGCCTGAGTCTCAGGGTAGAAAGATCATCAATACAATACAACCATCTGGTGTTGCTAGCCCTCTGCTGGCCAGATTTGGCCCGTCGACTGCCAGGTGAATAGCCATGATCTAAAGGTTGTGGGTGGAGCCTCAACAGAGTTGGTGTTTTGTGTACCAT